AGAGAGAGAGAGAGAGAGAGAGAGAGAGAGAGAGAGAGAGAGAAAAGAAAGAGAGCGTGATAGAGAGAGAGCGAGGGCGTGAGAGAGAAAGCGAGAGAGAGAGAGAGAGAGAGAGAGAGAGCGAGAGCGTGAGAGAGAAAGCGAGAGAGGGGAGAGAGAGAGAGAGAGAGAGAGAGAGAGAGAGAGAGAGCGAGACAGAGCATTCGGAGAACTGATTACGCCGTGAAATGATCGCTCGGCGGTCAGCCAGGATAGTTTTAGGACTGAAAGCGAGCTAGCATAGACCATTGAACCATTACAGAGGGAAATAGAGAAAGAGATCACTGCAAAAATGCGCGCATATCGTTTCCTGTGAATTAATGGGGGAAGCAGATGGCCAGCAGAGGTCATCGAATGCATAGGTTATCGTCAGATCCCTATCCCCATCACCCACATGGCGGACGAGACGGCGCAAATGGTCTCTGCTAGCCTGCCCTCGGCAGATACCCCAGAGGAACCGCCCGTCTATCCTTGTATTATCGTTTTGATGACGGTAATCTTCGGATGCTGGCTGCTTGGCGCCACACTCCTACAGTGCCGTCATGTAAGCATTTACACCTCGCTCGCATTTGCTTGTAGTCTGTTGCCTGGAGTCTGGATGACAGTTTGGCGATTCCCGGCAAAATCTGGGTCGAAATCCCAAAATGCAAAAAGTTTGCCGCGGCCGGGGGATCGAACCCAGGCCGTCTGGGTGACAGTTTGTGGTCGGAAGGTCATTTTGTAGTCCGTAGTTTGTAGCCTGGATGACAGCTTAGCGATTCCCAGCCAACCCCGAGCCAAACTGATGATAAAGCCCATTTTCAGTTCGATGTGCCGGATGAGAAGTGGTACGCGGACCTTCAAATGACCCCCACCCTCCCCTCGATGTATTTCGAGTCGAAATCTGGGGTAATCGCCGCACTTTTAAAGGGACTAACAAGTCAAAATTCACACGTGTGCGACGCGATCATTTTTTGAATTTTAAGTTTGTAAAAATTAAAAAAATTAGTTAAATATTCAAATTTGCATTAAAGATCATCTTAAAGTTTTACACTTAAAAATGAAAATAAATTAGTGGAAAAACTTAAGCTAAGCCAAACCTGATCTTGAAATTAAAAAGCAAGTATTTAAGAAACTAAGTAAAGCAATTGAAAATTTTCAAGAAGTTGAAAAATTTTGGAATTTTGAATTTGAAAAATAAAAAAAAGGAATAAATAAAATCCTCCTACTATATAAAAAAATAGTGTCTGTGTTTGTGTGTGTGTATTTGCATACACTTCCGTTTGGATGTTCCGCACCTACAGCCTCAGAGAAGCATTTTTTCGGTAGGGAAGAAACGTCATAGGGTAAAGGAGGGGCCGGTATCGACTGCACACACATAAAATCTTTGAAAAATTGATATTTTCATTATTAAAATTAGGTTTTTGTAAAAATCTTGGCTTCCCTCTTTCTTAGGGAAAAATTAGCATACGCCGGAAGTGGAGGTGGCTTATAAAAAGGAAGGAGGGCGTGGTTTTCATTTTTGGTCATCGGTTTTCGACAAGAATTATGCAAAGTTTCATAGATCCTAGACGGGGCCAGGGTTGAAAAGCCGCGCAGCGCTTTTTCTACCCTGGTAAATAAATAAAAAATAAAAAAAGGGATGTTTTCTTTTATCGGGACGAATATATTTGAATCTTGACATATTGAAATGTCCAATAGTTCCGGAATCCAATTTGCACCTTTGACATCTTGAAAAAGGCAGAAGCTGTGCATTTGCAGGTGGATCTGTCGTGTGTGGCGACCCCGTGGAACTACTGGGCCACATTTCTCTGCTGTGCGACAGTGGCCGGTAAGTCAATCGCCAGCTTTTCCATGCTCAATTATTGGTGTTTTAGCAACATCTAACTCTGTTTTAAGTAAAAAAAAAACAACAAAAAACAACTTCGAAAAAATTTTAACTGGAATTTTGACCGAAAATCGGCCCCTTTAGAACGAAAAATCGATGTTATTGGATTTTAGACGAAAATTGGTAACATTTTTACGCTTAGAAATGGTAAAAAGCAGTTTAGAAACATTCCACCATTTAGATTAGAAGATTTGGATCCTTAGAAATAAAAAACAAGCCCACGAAATGTTACCCGTTTTCTATTGCAGGTATCTGGCTGGCGTACAGTTTCAGCAGCGAGGAGATCCACCTCATCTTCCACGCATTCCTCATATTATTTGAGGGCATCTGCTATGCACGTGCTGACTATCCACACCGTTCCCTCCTCGCTTTTTGCCTGTTTTTTCTCCTGCTCGGCCTCAATCTGTATGCGATTTATTAGCGTGATAAAACGAGGATCAGCTAATCATTTTTACCTTTTTAATGGGAATCGCTATACTGACACGCAGACTACCTATCTCGTTTCTATCGTTATATTTCTATCTATTCAATGAGAATTCGAAACATACAATCAACACCCAAATCGGCAAACAACCCTCCAGAAAATGACCGAATTTTCAAAAAGAAAATTTTTTTGAAAAACATCGAAAAACCCGTTGTTAATTAAAAGTCAACTTTGAATGAACGTTTGTAAGCATTGAATACTCCAGAATAGTTACAAACAATGTCGAGACGAATTGACCACTGGCAAAAAAAAACCTATTTGCGGCCCAAAATACTACCGGCTAAAGTCTAGGACCCCCAGCCGCGTTTTCCACATTTCTACCTTCCTTATTCTTATTTTGGCTACTTTTTGACTCAAATTCAATGGATTCTTACTAATTAGCCTACTGCGAACATTTTGGTATACTTTAGAGCTCGCTAGCACAAAGGCGGGCCGAGATACAAAAGTTGGTGCCGGCTGGGGGAGGGGGTTTCCCCGCTCTTACCATACTACCGAGTTGATGATTCTAACTTCTAACTGCTAAATATTGCTTTCTAGATGCGCGGTGCCGCGGCCGGGACTCGAACCCCTGACCTTCTGCTCGTCAGACGGGGCTTGATCCATTTAGCCACACCACAGGGCTGTCCGGGCTCTGCACCCCTGCGGCTGGGTGCGTACCCCTAGCGTTCTCTAGGTCTTTAACCCCTAGCTTTTAATGAAAAAGCAAAACTCCAAGTCATGCGCGGGAGTCGAACCCGGGCCTTGCGCGCGGCAAGCCAACACAAAACCACTCAGCCAACAGGCGAGCGGAGAGTGGGGCACGAGAGGCCCTCTTCCCCCAAGGCCCCGCCCCCTCCCCCGCCCCCGACTTTAGGGAACAAACGATGTTATAATGTGGACGGCTGAATAAAGTTGCGCGGTGAAGCTTTTTGTAAAGGGGATAAGACAGCCTTGATGAGGCCTGGCCGGAAATTGGCAGCTAGCCAGCTGGTCCCGCGCGGGACAATGACGGGCGAGAGAGGGCGCACATGCCACGGCCTTTCAGGTCGCGCATGGGCGGGGTGGTCGGGGCATGGTGTAGTGGTCTAAGGCGACGGTTGAGCCTCGAGACAGGGACGCGGGTTCGGTTCCCGGGCCCGCAGGCATTTAGCTTCCCTATGACGCCCCTTGTCTCAGGTACCTCATTTTTCAGCTTCAAACGGACCGGACGTCCCGATTGCCGTGTACGATTTCTAGGAAACCTTGACCAAAAGATAGAGACAGAAGCTGTTCTTTTTTTCTGTAAACTCATATAGATTATAGAAAAAAGTTATAGCCAGTTGAAAGTGGAAAAGATAGCGCCCCTTAGCTTTACCAATGCTTTACGCGATGATATTGCTCTTTTGCAACGCGTACGCTTTCCCCGTGCGTGTATCATCTTTGGAGTAGGCGTTATTCTATTAGGCCCGGTAAACGTTTCTGATTTCTTTGCGATTCAGTTTTTAGTTATACGTTCGTTGAACGTTGAAACATTTTTTGGCAAATAATTTCATTTTTAAGGGGCAAAGTGCGGAGCAGCTACGAGATGATCCATTGCACACGTTGCTTCCTCGCTTTCACGCTGGAAACAGAAATTGCTAAAAGAAAGTGTTACTAAACTTTGTTTTCTTCACCCCGTGCCTTACAAAAGTTCCATTTTACTGTCTTGCAATTCGCGTATCTTTCGGTTATAGCGTAAAAACGCCGATTGCAACATTTATCTCTTTTTTTACAGGGACTCTTCGAAGTATGGCGCCCCAACGATCGGAAGGAAGGAAACCAACATGCGCAGCAGCTCAATGGGGGCGGATTAGCGGTTAGTGACCGAACAATTTTTCTTCTGTGCCGACCTTTTTTTAAGCCCGTGTCGCTGGTGAGACGATGCTCTCGTCGTGATGCTGACGATCGGACGCTAGGACGTCTGCGGTGGGCGCTTATGGTCGACGGAAGGATGGGTTTATTCTTTGTTTTTGATAGTGGCTACGTTTTTCAGTAGTATAAGATCCTTTTTGATGAAGTTGGGGGTTTTTTTTAGGCCAGCATGTTCAAGATTCTTCCAGATTTCGAGGAAATTCAGCTTCCGTTAGATTGGTTTCTCCCTCACCTAATCACGTTGCGCTGCGCATTACGCGCTTTTATACACAGACACCGGAATCACAGAAATCACAGGAATCTCTAATCACAAAATAACTCAATGGGCTCCAGAATTCACAAAACATTAGTCACAAAAATTCAGTTGGCAGACGGATCAATTCTTAGACGTAATCGGGGAACAAATTTTAGTAAGGATAGTCGCAGTCACTTCCCGCCTCGCGGGATCTGATCTGCCAGCGGGTTTGGGGGCGAGATTGGTCTGGGGCGGGGGCGAAATTTCCCATAATTTAGTCTTTTTCATCGGCTTGTTTACTTGGTCCAGAATTTGGAGAATTTTTAGAAAATTTGAATCTTGGAAAATTTTAGTAATTTTATATCTTAGAAAATTTTTCGAACTCGGCCCTCAGGCGGAAAATACGGAAGAGCGTTTAGTGGAAAACGGGCTATTTAGCCGGGGAACCAGAGAATCAAAGGGGATCGCTATGTAGCCTACTCTACTGATCGGGCAAATTATATTTAGGGCCATCGGGGTCGGTTTGCTGGGCGCCGGCGACAAATGCGCGCGAGCTCGCGCAACGCGGCGAGAACAATGTGTAGGCCACGACGACAAACGTCACGAAGTCCTTCGTGGAGCCGCCACGATTCGACGGCGGCCCACGAGGCGATGGCCAGGCCTAAGACTACGCTGAACACGTCTTTGGTGAAGCCAAAGAAGACTTCGCCACCGAGACCGACGATCAGCCAAACCATCTTGAAGATCTTGGCGCGTCCGACCCAAATTGGTGCCCTGTCCTCGAAGTAGTCGCTGATCAGGTCACAAATCAGCCCGGTGCCGACGCGCGACGACAAGGTGAAGATCAGTGCCGACTAAAGGTGACGTTATAACGGTTTGTTGGCAGGTCACTCGGCGAAATTCACGACCCAAAGAAACAAACCGTGTCATTGTGGCCGGGGATCCACTGCCAACCCTCCCAGAGGATACTGCTGTCATTGCTGGCGCTCTTGGCAAGTTCGGAGTCGGGCTTGGCGATCGTCTTGTTGAGCTCGACCTGGAGCAGCGATTTCCAGTTCTCGGCCTCGTCCTTGTAGCGTTCGGCCTGACTCGAGGCGTTCTCCAGCTGCAGCTTGAGCTCAGCGAACTAATATCTTTTATAGGTACAACGTCAACTCGCACCTCCTCCTTCAACTTCTGCATGGCGCCTAGAAGCTCGTCGTGGCAGGAGCGAGTCGTTTGAAGAAGGGCGATGTCCGTCGAGTTGTTGAAGCCGGGCAGTTCCTGGGCATCGATCTCTTCCTGGAAGCAGAGGAGTAAGTTAATTCAATTTCAGGACTTTTTAAGGCATTAGCAGCTTACTTGAAGCATTGGGCAGGTGAAGTTGGCGCTCTCATCATCCGAACTCTCCTCCAAGCCGTACGCCAGAACCAACAGCAGTAAGAAGATTAGTTTTTTCGACATTCACAGATTTTGGGTCTATTCTACCTACACTTTCCACGTCCTTCTGAGAAGCAGCAGCACTGGTTACGCGATGAAAAGGTATTTTAAAGCTAAATTACGCTTATTTTCCGGTTACTGTAGCAGGAAAACGTTTTTTCCGCTTCGCTTCGCCTCATCAGTCTATTTTTCGATGCATTATTTAGATTTTTTGACGGCGGATTCGGCGGGCGCAAGTCGAACGACAGCATCCAAAATGACGGTTTGCGGCGAGGTACTGTAGCCCTCATTTCCTGATTTTTAACGATTGTCATGATTTGCTCGAAACTTTGAATTAAAAAACTTTGAACCAAAACGCATGCTGCTACCGAATTTTTGATTTTGAGAAAGAGACCAGAATTTCTTGTAATTTGCTTGCTTAAAATTTCGGCTCATCTGGGGAAAGCTGTTTTCGCCTTTCAGCTTTCGGCTCATGGGCGTTTTCTTGAATTTTATTCGTCATTTTTTATCTTTTGTGCCATTCTCGAACTCACAATTTCCGCATTTTACAAATTGTTAGATCGTTCTGTAAGACTTTTTCCAGGGGTTTCCGCTTTTGCTGCCTCTTCCATATCTCGCGTTTTCTATATCTCGCATTTTTATATTCGTTATTTTCAGGGCTGCTTTATTTTTGATAATCACCGATAGTTCTGATTCTTTGTAATGAATTTTTGATAATTTTTTGTAATTAATTTTCGGATTTTTTTGTCCCCAAATTTTTCATTTAGGGCTCAAATCGTGAGACTTCCCTCTTCCATTTCTTTGCATTCTCTTCCTCTTCCCATTCTCTCTACAATCTTATCTGCATGCAGCCTCTATGTGTTCATAGGAGCTGCGCGTCCGTTTAACCTTCCGCCCTCGACCCGTTCGATCCCCACCCTTTTCCGGGCCTAGACCTGAAACTTGAGATTTTAGAGCTCTTCTTAGTTCAAAAGAACCCATTGAAGTTTTTGAAACTTGTTTTGCGCCCAAAGAGACCGATTTCGCCATCTTCCATTCGTTTTTAGACGGTTCCTAAGAAAATTGCGTAATTTTATCGCAAGCCGCTTTTGCTTTTATAGAAAAAAAATCATTATTTTGACTCCTTTTCGAGTTTTTCTAGCCACGCATGCTTTTTTAGAAGATTTCGACGAAAATGGCGTGATTTTAATTTTCTTGCTAAAAAATTGCAGTTTTGACGATTTTGGCAGCTTTCTGGCCTTTTGCCACTCATTTTTTTCTAAGTCCTCGCTTTCCTCGGTTTTTATTATCTATTCCCTTTTTTCATGTTCGTTTTCCATTTTCCCTTCTTTTTGCCAGCTTTTTTCGGAGGTACAACTCAACTTTAACTTTTTCCAGGCGCCCCCCACCGCCCGCCACACTCCCCGCCCACCCAGAAGAAGCGCCCGGCCGACCCAAGCAAGCTGACCGCCGACGCGGAGATGGCGCCCGTCATTAGCCGTGCCAAGGTTTACCCCGATGTAAGTTTTTTAACTATCTTTGCCTTTTTCCGGTTTTCCAAAACTAATTTCCTTTTTTCAGATCAACCAACACAAGCCGCGCGATTATTGGGACTACGAGGCGCACCTCATCGAGTGGGGCAACATCGACGAGTACCAACTCGTCCGCAAACTCGGCCGCGGCAAATACTCCGAGGTAACTTGCAATTTTGGGCCCAAAAACTAATTTTCCCTTTTTCAGGTGTTCGAGGGAATCCGGACAGCGCCCGACGGGAACGAAGCGAAGTGTGTGGTGAAGATACTGAAGCCCGTCAAGAAGAAGAAGATCAAGCGCGAGATCAAGATCCTGCAGAACCTGCGCGACGGCACGAACATCATCTCGCTGCTCGAAGTGGTCAAGGATCCCGTCTCCAGGACACCGGCGCTCGTTTTCGAGTAAATTTCTGGATTTTGCGCAAAATTTCCCACTTTTTTAGATACGTCAACAACACGGACTTCAAGCAACTCTACCAGACGCTGTCCGACTTCGACATCCGCTACTACCTGTTCGAGCTGCTGCGCGCCCTCGACTACTGCCACTCGATGGGAATCATGCACCGCGATGTCAAGCCCCACAACGTCATGATCGACCACGAGAAGCGCGAGGTAAAAGGAACGTTTTTTTGGCCTAAAAATTGTGTTTTCCTTTTTCCAGCTTCGTCTGATTGACTGGGGCCTCGCCGAATTCTACCACACCGACCAGGAATACAATGTGCGCGTCGCCTCCAGATATTTTAAGGTAATTTTCTTTTTTGGCCTAAAATTGCTTTTTAGGGCCCTGAACTGCTGGTGGACTACCAGTACTACGACTACTCGCTCGACATGTGGTCCCTCGGCTGCATGCTCGCCTCGATGATCTTCCGCAAAGAGCCCTTCTTCCACGGCCACGACAACTATGATCAGGTACGCTTTTGCCGTTTCTTTCTGACGTTTCTTTTAGTTGGTGCGCATCGCAAAAGTGCTGGGAACGGAGGAGCTGTACGATTACATTGAAAAATACCAGGTATCGCCGGGTTTTCACGTTTTTACGCTTTTTTTTCAGATCAATTTGGACATTCGCTTCAACGACATTCTCGGACGGCACTCGCGGAAACGATGGGAACGATTCGTGCACCAGGAAAATCAGCATTTGGTGAGGAATTTTGAGATTTTGCGTTTTGTTACAGGCCTTAACGTCGATTCTTGCAAAATTTGACCGGAAAAACACTGAAATTTTGGTTTTTCGAGCAAAACTTGCGATTTTCTAGCCAACTTCAAGTTTGCAAAGCTCTTCCGCTCCTCGTGCGCTTTTCAATGCGTTTTTTTGCATAGAAATTTTGTGATTTTGGTTGTCTTACAAGCCCTAAAAGTAGATTTTGCACAAAATTTGACCAAAAGACGCTCAACTTAAGGTTTTTCTATAAAAAACGCGATTTTCTACCCATCTTCACGTTTGCCAAGCACTTTGGCGCTTCCTGCGCTTTTCAATGCTTTTTTTGCGTTTTTATTCCCTTTTTTAGGTGACAAATGAGGCGATCGACTTCTTGGACAAGCTGCTGCGCTACGACCACGCCGAGCGACTGACCGCCCACGAGGCCATGTGCCATCCCTATTTTCGTGTACGTTTTTCGCGCGTTTCCCCTTGCAAAACACCTTTTTTGCAGCCGGTCGTCGAGCAACGTGCCGATGGTGCCGCCCTGCTCGCCCCGCGCCCGCAAAACGTCCAGCAGCAGCAGCAGCAACCGCAGCCGGCCAACGTCAACGCGGCCGCTTGACCATGAAGAAGATGAAGCCGAAGAAAAGAAGCTTTTTGACCCTCCTCCTCGTCTCGTTCGCTCTGGAATTGCCGCGCGCGCCTCCGTTTTGATCTATATTATCTATCTCTTATCATGTCTACCATTCATGTTCCCGTTCTTATTATCGCTGTAACCATGAACCCGTGTACACGATAAAGCCTTTATACCCTTTGCTGGAGTGTTTGGAGAATCGGAGGAAATACACGGAAACCAAGTTCCCTGGCTGCTTGTAACGATTGCGAAGAATCTGATGAGTGTGAATTTTTGTGCGATTAGAACAATAGGCGGCGTCTTCTTTGTAGTTTCAGGCGTGTTTTTAGAAAGAAAAGCGTGAACTTCGTGTTTAGAAGAAAGCTAGGTGGTATTTGGCATAGCAACGGCTTTTGGCATCAGAATAGTTTTATTTGCGCAATTTATGCTAGTTTTTAGTCTAAATTATTATCAGCTACTGCTAGTTCTAGTGTATATTTTAATATTCCTATTATAGGAAGCTGATTTTGGCTCTACGCCCCCCGGAAGTCTCATTTCCAGATAGATGAGACGTATCGATAGCTCATTCGAACGCTTGCGCAAGAAAACGCTGGCTCGAAACGATAAACGCGTTCAGCGGCTCGTTCTTGTCATGCTCCATACGCGGATTTTATGATGTATCTTCAGAATAGTTGTTGCAATTAGCGTTTGGAAGAAAGCGTGGTTGTATTTGGCATAGGCAAGGTTTTTAGCATCAGAATAGTTGTATTTGCGCGATCTCTGCTAGTTTTTGGATGTAAATTGGGCGTTTACCTATTAAAAAGCTGATTTTGGCTCTACGCCCCCCGGAAATCCCACTTCCAGATTGAAGATACACCGCCGTAGCTTCTCCGAAAACTTGCGCATGAAAACGCGTAGTATTGACGTCGATGAGGTCGTCGTCGCGCGTGTCGAATGCCTAGGAGAAGCCGCGCTGAGCACGTTAATGCTTTTAATAGCGATTTAGTGCGGTGCGGGTAGGGCTAAATCAATAGAAAGCGATGTAGTGCTGAGCGGCCTCTCCTTGGCATGCTGCACAAGCGGGATTTTATGATGGAACTCTTGAATAGCCCTTGAACGTCGTGTTTTGAAGGAAACTTGATTGTTTAAATATTTTGGCTATATTTTGCGCAGTTTCTGCTCGTTTTTAGTCGGAATTAGCATTCATCTCTTCGGAAGCTTTATTTTGGCTCTAGGCAAGCTGGAAATCCCAATTCCAGATCAATGATACGTATCTGTAGCTCCTCCCGTCTCTTGTGTAAGAAAACGCGGCGTTTTGATGCTCGCCTTGAACGTTCTGAATTTTTTGCTGCGCCCTCCGTGCTTTTTTCTACGCATTTCAAGCATCTTTTCCCGTTTTCCATTATTTGGCTGTTCCCAGGAGGTCAAAAACAACGTTTCCCCTTTTTCAGATGCTTCGACGCGTTGGCCGAGCGTTGGCGGCGAGTCACCGCGGACTCGCCGTCCCCAAGAACTTTGCCGACACGGCGCCCGTCTACCTCGACGTTCAAGCAACGTCCCCAATGGTCGGTTTCCCCCCTTGAAAATTTATATATTTTGCCGTTTAGGACCCGCGCGTCGTCGACGCCATGTTGCCGTACATGGTCGAGGAGTTCGGCAACCCGCACAGCAGGACGCATGCTTACGGGTACGTTTTGGGGTTGATCGGGAAAAGCGAAAAATTCTGAACAAGTTGCGGAAACAAAAATCAGAGGAATGAGCAATTTTTGCCAGAGGAATTTTTAGAAGTTAAAAATACAGTTCATTAAAGCTAAAAAATTGATTTTTTTAGGCTGAAAAATCTATTTTTTGCTTTTTTATAGCGGAAATTGTTCAGATTTTTTACTCGAGCTAATAAACTATTTTTCTGCGTTGAAAATCTCCTATTTTCAGGTGGAAGGCCGAGGCGGCCGTCGAAGATGCACGCGCCCGCATCGCCGCCCTCATCAACGCCGACCCCAAGGAGGTACACCGTGTTTTTAACGATTTCTAAACCCTTTTCCAGATCATCTTCACTTCCGGGGCCACCGAGTCGAACAACATCGCGCTGAAGGGCGTCGCCCGGTTCCAGAAGCAGGCCGGCAAGAATCACGTCATCACCGTCCAAACGGTGCGTTTCCGGCTGGCAAAATCAATGAAGAAGCTCGCCGAAAAGCGCAGAAAATTTTGCGGATTTTTGTCAACATGGTTCTGCAGTTTTCGGGCCTTTTTTCGGAGTGTTTCGATCGATTTTTACGTCAAATCCTGAAAATGCATTATTTTTTACCAATTTTCGAAAATTATACGATTTTCGGTTTTCACCAAATTCGATTTGAAGTTTTGAAACTTTTTGGCGAGCTTTTCGATCAATTTTCCCGGAAAGATCACGCTAAAAATCGTGATTTTCGGCTATTTCTACAATTTCTGGACTTTATTTTAGCTTATTCATGCGCAAAACCCTTTCAAAAAATGGTTATTTTTAACAGATTTCGAAAATATCAAGTTTGAAAGTCTAGAAAGAAAATTTTCCTCATTTCCAGGAGCACAAATGCGTGCTGGACTCGTGCCGTCAGCTCGAACTCGAGGGCTTTCGCGTCACCTATCTGCCCGTCGAGACGAATGGCATGATCGACATTAAGGTAAGGGGTTTTGTGAGTCTTTTTGAACCGTTTTTTAGGCCCTGGAAGCGGCGATAACGAAGGAGACGGCCCTGGTGAGCGTGATGTTCGTCAACAACGAGATTGGCATCATCCAGCCCATCAAGGAGATTGGTACGCTGTTGATTTTGGCGCATTTCGACGAGAATGTTGACGATATTCAATTATGCCTTTTATGAGCGTTGAAAATTTCCTCAAAAATCGTATAAAAAATAGTTCGACATGTCAGAAAGTTCCCTAATGGTCTGTGCTAGTGTTTAGAGTTTGCCAACTTGTCCTAAACGGTCTCTGCCAGTTTGCCGGCCTTCTTGAAAGCTTAATTTTTCCGCTATTTTGGCTCGAAAATGGGTGATTTGTCGGGAAAACCCTGCTAGTTTGACTTTTCCGAAAAGTGCTGAAAATTTCCTAAAAGCTTTCTGCTCGCTTGCCCCAAGTTTTAGGATAGACGCCCTTTCGAGTAGAATAAAAAAAAAAATTTACCATTTTTTCTAAATTTAGGACCAACCTTTCCTCAACGATCCCTGCAGGGTTACCCGCCAATTCCTTGAATTTTGCAGGTGAGCTGTGCCGTTCTCGGAAGGTCTATTTCCACACGGACGCCGCGCAGGCGACGGGCAAAGTGCCGATCGACGTGAACGCGTTGAAGCTGGATCTGATGAGCATCTCCGGCCACAAACTCTACGGGCCGAAGGGCGTTGGGGCGCTGTTTGTGAGGAGGAGGCCCAGGGTCCGCCTGGAGGCTCAAATGAGGTACGTCTTTTTCGCGAAATCTATTATTTTTTTTTGCCATTTTTAGTGGCGGCGGTCAAGAGCGTGGGATGCGTAGCGGGACACTTGCGACTCCACTGTGCGTCGGACTCGGCGAGGCCTGTCGCATTGCCGCCGAGGAAATGGGTACGAATTTTTGAGTTTATAAAGCTAATTTTCGGCGAATTCCATGTCGTAATTGGTCTCCGGCCCTTGTGGCTAATTGGTTGGTGTCTCGCTCGACACGCACGAGGCCCTGGTTCGACCCCCGGCCGCTGCAAACTTTTTTGTGTTTTTTGGGATTTAGGGTCTGATTTTGATGGGAATGGAGAGTTTTGCGTGCATTTTTGAGACCATAGACTACAAGCTACAGACTGTTCTCCCTTTTGGGCGTAGCTTTTGAAAAAGTCGCTAATTTTACCCAGAATTAGCGGCTAAAAACGACAAAATTCGACTCACAAGACCCGGGTTCGACCCCAGGCCGCGGCAAAGTTTTTGCTTTTTGGAATTTGGGCGTAGATTTTGAAAAAAAGCCGTGACTTTATACCCAAACTACAGGCTACAAGCTACATTTCCGCGATCGTTCGATTTTGGGTCCTGATTCCCTGACGTAACCCCATTCTTTCAGAAATGGACAAGGCGCACGTGACCCGTCTCTCCCGTCTCCTAATCGAGGGTGTCCAGGACAAGTTGCCGCACATCATCCGCAACGGCGACCCCGAGAAGACGTACCCCGGATGCGTCAATCTATCATTTGCATACGTTGAAGGTATCTTTTCGGGGTTTTTTTGAAACCGAAATTTTTGTCCAAAGTTGAAATTTTCTGTCGTATAAAGTCCAAATTTTTGCCGCGTAGTTTCGGGGGAATTTTTTTTCTGGAAAAGTCGTCAGCTCCGGCATATGAATCTTTTTGAGATTCGAGGTTCTTAAATTCTAAATCTTGTAACGATTCTGATAAATTATCAAATTTTTTCAATTTGAATTTAAGTTTTCTAAATTTAATAAAATTCCAAACTTCTCAAATAATATTTCGTTGCAGGCGAATCCCTACTGATGGCCCTGAAATCGGTGGCCCTATCCTCCGGCTCGGCGTGCACATCCGCGTCACTTGAGCCATCGTCAGTTTGCTTTTTAATTATCGTATTCTACCGTGTTTTTGCAGATACGTTCTACGAGCGATCGGCGCCGAAGAGGATCTGGCCCACTCGAGCATCCGATTCGGCATTGGACGATTCACAACTGAGGAGGATGTCGGTATTTTTGGAATTCGAACTCCCCCCGTTTTGCTTAATTCTTTTCGAGCGTTTTCGGACTGGCGGGGGCTAACTTGCGGTGATTTTTGAGGATTTAGCACGGCTGGAGGGCCGCCGGCGGCTAGCCGAGATTCTTTAGGATAAAAGCCGCAACTAGCAGGGAGGCTTTAGGATTAGGATAAGAGCAGAGACTTGTGAGATTCGAGGGCAACTAGCGGGGGATCCTTCAGGATTTGACGTTTTTAGAACAAAAGTGGCTGGCAGGGTTTCTTTGGGATTAAAGGGGGTCTGACGATTTGGCGAAGGTAGCAACTAGCAGCGATTCTTAGAATCGGAAATTCCCTGGTTTTTCAAACCAATTATTTATAAATTAGTGTTAAATTGTGCCGTCAAAATTAGCAGTGATTCTTTAGGAACTTTTAAACAAGGGTATCTAGCGGAGATGATTTGGGATTAAAGGGACAGTGACAGCCAGGCGAATCGGGCAACTAGCAATGATTCTTTAGAATCGGAAATTTACAATTTTGATAGAAAATTGAGTTAAATGAATAGAACGTTAAATTGAGAAAATAGAAAATTGAATTTTTAGAGAAAACAAATGTAGAACCAATTTTTTATGAAAAGTTTGGATTAAGGGTTCTTTAAATATTTTTCGGTCAACTGGCAGTGTTTCTTTAGGTTTAATTTTTTTAAAGTAAAGTTTAATTTTTTTTTTATTTAAATTTAATGAAAATAAACTTTTAAAAGTTTTTAAATTTTTTCGGGCAACTAGCTGGGATTCTTTGGGAACTAATCCCGTTGATTTCAGATCCGTCACACCGTCGCGCTTTGCCTAAAAGAAGTGGCCCGTCTACGCGAATTGAGTCCATTATGGGAGATGGTCCAAGAGGGAATCGATCTCAAATCAATCCAATGGACACAGCATTAAGCGGATTGGTTTTTGTGTTTCTCTGCCCTCTCCCTCTCTCTTTCTCTCCGTTTCACCCTCTATTTCTCCTCGTCCTCCTCGCCCTCATGCTCCTCCTCCTCTCCTTCAGATTGTGATGCGCCCCCTCTCTAAAATAATTTTGTAAAAATTAATTTTCCCCAGCCAATTTAGCCAGCCAGCAGTTTCCGTTTTTTTGGCTTGTAGTAATTGTTGGTTTTTCCGTGTTTTCCTCTGTTCGTTGTTTGTTGCTAGTTGTACAGCGTTGCCCGTCGAAAATAAATTTTATTCCCGAATTTTGGGCGTTTTTTGGCACTTTTTAGTGTAGATTTCTGGAAGTTATGAAAAAATAACCAGCCGCAAGGTTTCTAGCACGTTTTTTTTGCGTGAAAAACGCCATTGTGCAGCCGTTTTTGTGGCGTTTTAGATGGCTGCGTGGGCGTTGTACGATTTTTGGACTTTACCAAGTTCTATTTCAGGTTTTGAAACTTTTGACGAGCTTTTCGATCAATTTTCCCGGAAGAGCACGCTGAAAATCGTGATATTTAAATGGGTAGCTGGGTAGCTGTTGTAGTCTGCAGGTGTTTAGCGAATTCCATAAAAACCCATAAAAACAGGTACCCTTTATCGTAGTTTGCTGCTAATACAGGGCATATAGGTTGAGACCGAGCAGTAGGAAAAAAAGAGGTATCGAAACGAGGGTACGGATGGGATGGTCAGCAATTGCACAGCAGAAACCGTTAAACATTTTGGAGATGGCGTCGTCGAATAGGTCGAGCTCCTCCTTGCTGAAGCTGGCAATCAGCCACAGGACTGAAATGGACAAAAATAGCGATTTCCGTTCATTTCGCATACCGTCATTTCGCATAATTGCATTTCGCATAATTTTTATTCCGCATAACGGTGATTTCGCATAACGCTTATTTCGTATAACGCTTATTTCGCATAACGGTGATTTCGCCTAACCGTCATTTCGCATAACGATCATCTCGCATAACGACCATTTCAGCTAACGACCATTTCGCATAATTTTGATTTCGCCTAACCGCCATTTCGCATAATTTTCGCCATTGGCAGCCGATGGTCAATATAACTCTAGCTTAGCAATCAGCAACCGATGAAAAACCATCTACCGGCGCGGTTTTTTGCGCCCTTCCGTGCAGATATCCCAAGCTTGCTCAAAATCCATGACCCATCGGGTGTACGTCTATTTTGAGGGGCTTGACCAAAAATCCTACGTTGTAGATAGTCTCCATGTGTAAACTAGCAGATCTGACCGCAAATCTAGGTCAAAAGCCTTACATTGATTACAGATGCGGAATCCGCGTAAATGGTAGCTAGGAATTTCGATTGTCTTATACCGTGACTGCACTTCATATCATCAAAAACGCCCTGTTTTGCTCTTGGTTGCCACTAACTATAAAATATGCGAAATAAACGTTATGCGAGATCATCGCTAGGTGAAATGAAAAATATGCCAAATGATCGTTATGCGAAATCATGGTACGGCGAAATGACCGTTATGCGAAATCGCCGTTAGGCGAAATAAGCGTTATGCGAAATCATCGTTATGCGAAATCACCGTTATACGGAATAAAAATTATGCGAAATGCAATTATGCGAAATAGCGTTATGCGAAATGATAATTATGCAAGATGAAGAAATACCGAAATAGCTTACAAGGGAAGGGCAAGTACACGAACTGGAAATTTGAAAAACGCTGGCGGCTACCCCCAGGTTATCGGCTACGGGGAACACGATGGTGTTGTCAGAATTTTCCACCGAGCCCTGTGGAGCGAGATATGGTACTTCCGGAAAAGGGGTGATTTGAATCCGCGAGATTGGCATGCTCTTTGGGGTTTATTGGGGGCTTCTACGTGTCTACCATCAGCTGCGAGTTGGTCAATTGCTAACTGAACAATTTTTTGAAATACCTACCAGGGTTCGAATCCACTCAGAACTTTTAATTTTTGCTTTTTGCTTTTTGGAGGGGTCCCCGCGTCAATTTCGGTCCTCATAGATGAAATTTTTGGGTTCCACTTCGGATTTGGAAGAGAAAGTTTGCTACAAGAACAATGAAAACACAGCCAAAAAGGCTCCAAAAATAACATTCCAAAAAGCAGAAAATTAGAAGTTCTGAGCGGATTCGAACCCTGGTAGATATTTCAAAAAAACTGTTCAGTTAGCAATTGACTAACTCGCAGCTGATGGTAGACACGTAGAAGCCTCTAATAAACCGCAAGTTCGGCTGTATTAAATTGCACCCAGGATTGATAAATTTTGCATACATTTTTAGCATGAAATTTCTCTATTCTGGAGGCAATCGAATACAGTCGTATTTATACGGAACTTTCGTGATGTTGATTTCTGAGATATGGCAGATTCGCAAAGTTTTTCATCGAAAAAACTCCCCAAACTCCCCCAGAAGCGGTTTCCGCATTCGACTTACACAAGGGTATGGCGCCCATGCTGATCGCGTAGATCTGGGTGAACGGTGGCGCTACGCACGACGAATTCAACTGAACAATTGTTGGTACTTTTGCATTACCGAGGGGGAACCAATCGATTTTCGACGAATTTGTCCATGTTTTTAAACTTTCGCCACTTGAAATATCGTAAAGTTTCACTAAAGCACTTTTGAAAACCTTAATATGAAGTTATTAAGGAATTTTTGCCTTAGGATGCGCGTTTTCTAATCAAATGCTAAACTTTACCCCGGATGTTGTTTTGACATCGAACAATTCCCCGTGGTAGTCGAAAGCACGGTACCATTCCTCGTCCGGCACATCGATCTGGAAACAGGCTTTTCATGGCGTAATCGGTGAAACCCGGTCTTTTTCTTTTTCCGTTGTATTCAATTGGCGCTCACTTTCGATATCAAATATTGTATTGCCATACAGGCGACAGACCAGAAATTAAGCGGCTCCAGACTACAAGCCGTCACCCACCTGTCCCTGGTTCGACCCCCGCCCGCGGCCAGCTTTTTGCTTTTTAGATTTTCGCAATTTTTTTGTCCTGAATAGCTAAACCGCCCAACAGATTCAGGGTACAGACTACAAACTACAAACTGGCGAACATACACAGGTAAGTGCAGGGGCGTAGCCAGAAAAAAATTTCGGGGGGGGCCCCGAAAAATTTTTTCGGAAAAACTCAAAAATTAAGGCAAAAACAGCGCCGCAGGCGAAAAAATTTGGAAAAAGGGTTGCATAGCTCTACAAATAGCAGTAAAAACGTGTAAAAATAGCGCCGCAGGCAGCAAAATTTTTGAGAAAATCAAAATCATAAGGGTCCCCCCTTATGAAATTTTCGGGCCCCGGCCGATTTCGGGGGGGGGGGGCCCCGGGCCCAGGGGGCCCACCTTACGCTACGTCCCTGGGTAAGTGCATCCACCCGAAATCCACTCGGAATCCCGGAGGGGATCGAGGGGAATTCCACTAGCGGACGCGAGTGGATTCCGCTTGGAAATCGAGTGGATTCCGGGTGGAACGCAGGGAAATCGAGTGGAAACCAAGTGGATCCACTCGGTTTCCACTCGATTTCCAATAGCCGCGTCGCATGGTGGTCGCGTCGCGTCGCGTTTCCACTCCATTTCCCCATGCGTCCACCCGATTTCCACCCAATTTCCATGCGTTCCACCCGAATTCCAGGTGGAATCCACACGGAATTTGGGTGGATGCACGGACCTGTGTACTTACATCGCGACACTGGAGAAGCAGGACGAAGATCAGCCAGAATATTGCGCTGACTGTGGTGAAGAAGACTGCGACAAGGAAACACGGGAATGGGATAACTTCTTCTGAGGTTGACGCCGAGGGCAGGCTAGCAGAGACCATTTGCTTCTCTTCTATCATGCCGCCTAGGCTTTGTGTAATAGCGTGAGAGGGTAACTCTAAAGATTGGCAAAGTAATGGGCTGCTATGACCCCTAGCTGGCCATCTGCTCGATCATTGTCGATATTGACCCGTGCGCATTTTTGCGGCCCTTCTGATCCGTCTGTCTGTCTGTTTGTCTGCCTGCCTACTGCCAATTTTGAATTTCCCCCAATGATCTCTGTTCGTTTACCGAATATAGGTGTCTCTTTTTCTGCCGTTTCACGCCTCACTGAACCCCTCGATCCATCCTACTCAGGTCCTCGGGTCCACCCGAAATCCGGTCGGCATCAGCTCCCGAAATCGATCGGAATTCCAGTAGCGGACGCAACCGCATTCCACGTGGAAATCAACCGGATTGCGGGTGGATGCACGGTAAATCAGTTGGAAATCGACCGGATCCGCCCGGTTTCCACTCGACTTCCACTTGCCGCGTCGCGTGCTGCACGCGTTGCGTCGTGTTTCCACTCGATTTCCTGTGCGTCTACCCGAAATCCAGCCGATTTCCAGGCGTTCCACCCCAAATCCAGGTGGAATACAACCGGATTTTGGGTGGACCCGAGGAGCTGGGTAAATGGTCTCTGCTAACCGGTCAGCATTTTCAATCAATCGAATGACAGCCAGCCAAACGGGCGCTGCTAATTAACTGATTTCACACTCCCACTCACACTCCGGATTTTGATATCGCACTCTCTCTCTCTCTCTCTCTCTCTCTCTCTCTTTTCTAACCGTATTTCGTTCCAGTTGTCCTCCAGAACTACGATGGTCGACGCCATTGATTCTGAAGCTTCTGCTCACAATCGTGATGGTTCCGGCTCTCTCTCTCTCTCTCTCTCTCTCTCACTCACTCTCTTTCACTCTCTCTTTCTCTCTCGCTCTCGCTCTCTTCCTGTATCATTCGCTCTAGCCTAGCTTCCAGCATTCCTTCCAGTGCTTCGATGGCCGACGTTCCCACTTCTGAAGTTTCCCCTCTCCAGTATGATGCTTCTGGTGAGTGTTGGCTACCTTTAAAGGGACGGACAAGGCGCGGCCCCACTGCCATCGCGTAATCGATTACGGCACCTTAACGGCCGCCAAGCGAGGCGTGCGCCTTGCGTCATGGCAATCATTACGATTCAATCAACCGAGTACGAAATGGAAATCGAGGGCAGGCATCAACGCCCCCGCCCTCGATTTCCATTTCGTAATCGGTTAAACTGCGGGTTTTGCCAAAACCGCCCCGGAGGGCAGGCTAGCAGAGACCATTTGGGGATCGCTTTTCAGATTCGGCGCAAAACGTCGACCCCCTCTCGCCATTTTGTGACAGCAGCGATGATGAAGCAAAATCGACGAACTGTAAGCCACTAAAACTCAAACTACAAAAATTCTTAAAAATAGGCTCGTCGGCCAATCGATCGATGAGAGATCGGCTGAGGGAGGAGAGGGAAAAGATGCGAGAGACACAGATTGCTCTTTTTCATCAATTTAAAGTTTCTATTAAAGTTTAAAGTTAAATCAATTTAAAATTATTCACGCGGCAATTTGCCGCTTTTTTATTGAGAAACACTGGGTGTTTTTGAGGAACGATTGGAAGCCGTGCAGCGCGAGAATGATCGATTACGCGAGGATAATCAGGTATTGGCCAGAAATCGTTCGACAGACACTGTTTTTGTAAAGTTACGCCTAATTTCGGACGGCAATTGCTAAACTGCCATCCAGGCGACAGACTCCAAGCTACAAAGTGCAATCTGACACCCGGACTATAAACTATTTATTTACACAACTATTTCAGATTGGTAACTAACTGTAAAGTGTTTTTACTCAGGCTGGCGTTTTGGGATGGGACCAAGCCTATCTTGTGCAGAATTTTCCGCTGATTCAGAATCTGATTTCCAAATCTGCTGCCGACTTTTATTAGAAAAGTTATTTGACATTCACGCTATAAAAAGTGCCAAAATCCGGGTTTTTTTGCGTTATTCTTAAAGGGGCTCAGAAGTCAAAATTCGTGCGTGCGGGGATTGAACCTACGGGTCAAAAAACGAAAGGGACACTGCCAAGAAGTGCTAAAAAGTGATTTGATTGCGAAAAAAACGTAAAATGTTTGAGAAAAACCGAATTCTTTTTGGGGCGAAAACGACTTTTTTAGCGCGCGGCGATTTCATGTCGTAATGCCTTGTAAGGCGCCCAATCTCTTGATCTCGGTGATTCTCTGGTCAATTTTCATAATTTAAAAGTCTGGAATGTGCAAAATTCGTTGAGGATTCCAAAAATAGTATCAGATTTTTTTTAAATTCAAGCGTTTTTGCGTCCAAACAGGGGGAAAAGATCATGCGGCGCGGTCGCGTTGCGGCCGCATCTGGCTATTTGCCAGGAATCACAGCAGGGGGCCGTGGACCAGATTTCGGAGCCCATTTAACTTTCAATGCCTTGTTTGATAGGCCCTGGGACGCTCTACCTCGGCAAGACCCTCCTGGGACGTCAAAGTCACTGGTCACCTAGATACTGCTTCAAGAAGGCGCAGCAGCTTCCGATCGGAACGTCAGTTACACTATGGGAAAGCCCTTGAAGGGCCAGTTTGCAACAATTTTTTCAAAACCATGTTTTTATACAAACCCGATACTTTACAACGCATCCGAAACATTAAGGAACGACCTCCGCATCTAATTAACGCCAATTTCCCCCATTTTGCTTGGAGAAATTGGGGGCAAATTACCTCGTATGCAAAATTCCACAAAACAGCTTGTAAAATAGCGGACCTAAATCCGAACATGGTTTTGAAGCTTGTTTCAAGCTTTCTGCTTCAAGAACTTTCGCATGGTGTGCCTACGATTCCGATCCGATACTTCTCCGTCGAGCTTGGGGGGGTGGGGTGTTTTTTGATTGGGACACCCTGTAGATAGATGTTGAGATCCTTAAAGGGGCTCCGAAATCCGGTCCACGGCCCCCCTGCTGTGATTCCTGGCAAATAGCCAGATGCGGCCGCAACGCGACCGCGCCGCATGATCTTTTGCCCCTATTTGGGCGCAAACACGCTTGAATTTAAAAATTCTTATACTATTTTTGGAATCCTCAACGAATTTTGATCCGTCCAGACTTTTAAATTATGAAAATTGACCAAAGAATCACCGAGATCTAGAGAATGCCTTACAAGGCATTACGACAGGTAATTGCCGCGCACGCAATATGTCGTTTTCGTCCCAAAAAGAATTCGGATTTTCTCACCCATTTAACGTTTTTTCGCAACGAAATAACTTTTTTGGTAGTTCTCGGCAGCGACCCTTTCGTTTTTTGACCCGTAGGTTCAATCCCCGCACGGACGAATTTTGACTTCTGAGCCCCTTTAAAGTCGGACACGGGATTGCCGAGATCCGGCTTTTAAATTTCGACTCCAGCGCGAGCTGACTTTTTGGTTTTTGGATTTTTTTGGTTTTTGTTGAAAATCCAACACTGACAGGCTACAAACTGTAAACTGACATCCAGGCTCCAAACTACAAACTTCCACCTACTTTTTCCAGAAGCGCCTAGCGGCGAGCGAGCAAGAGGCTGACCAATTACGCAAGGATAATCGGGCCATGGTAGTTTTTTTTAGTTTTTTTAGCTAATTTGCTCATAAAATTAAGGCGGCAATACACGGACATGGACCCCCAATGACGACGGCGCAAAACGTCGATTTCTTGCTGGCAATGGGATGGCTGCTGCTGATGATTGTCGCCTATTTCTACGTGGTCTATCACTACTTTCGGGTGGAAACGGTGGGGAAAATCGTCGCGGCTAGCTTGCTTGGCTACGCCAACTTCTTGACAGCCAGTTCAGACTTTCATGTCGTATTCGGATCCTGAATGGTCACTGCTATTTTGCCTGCCATTTCAATCTCTTAATTGACTTCCAAGTGATATTTTTATGACGTAATCGAACCCCAAACCGCCTCCCCAGCATACGGCACCCCCTTCCCACATGCAGACATGCGGCCCGGCGCCGTGGGTTACGGTCACTGGTCCACGCGATAGGATTATATCGCGTAATTCCTGTGCATTGTCGTCCACTAGCATTCATAAAAACAAAAACAAAACTACTAAACTATCTAAACTACCAGGGTTGAAAAGCCGCTTCGCGACTTTTCAACCCTGGCCCCGTCTAGGCCCCATGATGGCCCTACTTTGCATAATCACACCCGCCTGCCCCGAACAAAAAAATGAAAATCACTCGCCCTCTCGTCTTTAAATAGGCTCTCTTTACTTCCGGCGCATGCAAATTGATTCCTAACAAAGAGGCCGAGCGAGATTTTGACAAAAACCTATTTTTAATGTCCAAAACAGCTGATTTTGAAAAATCTGATAGGTGTGCAGTCGTGTCATGAACATTGCACACCTAATGACGTATCATACGTACCCTTAACTTCCTCCCCTATTGAGATACGACTGGAACATACGGACGGAAGTTGCATGCAAATGCACACACACACACACAAACACTATTTTTTTTATATATAGTAGGATTATTTAGTGCATATTTACATTTGATGCATGCCACTGAGTAACTTTGGATGAAGGAAGCAGAAGATGGGCGTAGATTGATGGATTGTCACTATGGAGCTACTACAGCGGTGTGCCGCCTGTAAAATCATCTACAATACAATACTTCTACAATACATAGAATAGATTAAGTGCTCATTACCATGCATCAAATGTAAAAATGCACTAAATAATAGTTTAGACGTTTTGTTTTTGTTTTTATGAATGCTAGTGGACGACAATGCACAGGAATTACGCGATATAATCCTATCGCGTGGACCAGTGACCGTAACCCACGGCGCCGGGCCGCATGTCTGCATGTGGGAAGGGGGGTGCCGTCCACAGCATTCCGCCCTTTACCAGTTGTGTTCGTTTGACCGGGACAGGATGGCAGGCATACAGGGGAAGGGAGAATCTGCGCTCTGGCCCCGCCCCCTGTTCTCTTCCCCCGTGCCCTATAGCCTAGTCTCACTCTTTGGCCGCCTATTCCACGGCCTACCCCTCCCTCTGTGTCTGCACCCCGCCGTCTGGCGCACTATCCGCCAGCCTACTCACGAATACCACGGAATCATGTGGCCTCGGCTAGCCGGCCGCGGCGCGCCATATTCCTTGCTGGACACCAGAGGAGACTTTCATGTCGTAATTAATTCTTAAATTTTTTCTGCTAGCCTGTCCCTTCAGAAAGCTCTATTTCCAGTGTTCGACTCCATGCTCTCACCGTCTCTCCGTTCTCTTCATCCACGCTGCTGTCTGGATCGGCGGGGCCACAGGTAAGCGATTTACCTAGTTTTCCGCTGAATTCCTCCTGACGCGTCTGGGTACTATAGCTGATTGCTGTATATCACTCGAAAGCGGAGTTCCAGCTCTCTCAGAATCATTGCTAAAACACTCGTACCTAGTAGGAATCGCGTTATACGAGACCAGGAATTTGCTAATAATTCGTATTTTGTCCACTTTCCGGTCGATTCCTCTTGACTCCGGTGGTACGGTAGCTGACATTTAGACATTTATTTAGCTATCAGGTTTCTAACCTCTGAAGTCGCCGGAAAACCTTCGCCGGAAATCGATTTTTAGGGGCTCTAAAGTCTGAAAAAATTTGGAAAAATGACGTTTTCCGTTTGGCACCGTTTCTAATCACCGTAAATTTTTAGTTTTGTTAGATTACGCTAAACTGTCTGTCAGAAGGAAAGAATGGCTAGAAAAATCCACAAAATTCCGCCAAATTCCAGTGTACACCTACCGGAAGCGGCTGACAGTCGACGCGAAGCAGACGATCATCCGGGCTTTCACAGTCTTTTTTGGGCGTATTTTGAAGCAAATTGTCATTTGTGGCCTGTTAGTGATCACTGGTTACACGATCTCTTGCATTTGCAAATCTTACAAGCAATAAATGGTTGAGGTACAATTCGGATAAGCGGGGGGGAAAATTTTAGGCGGGGGGGAACCGAAATTTTTTCCGCGCAAGCCTATATTTTTATAGAAATAGTGGAAGTGTTTCTAAATTGTTTATAGCTATTCCTAAACATAAAAACTTTACAAAACTTAATTAAAAAATTTAATTTTAGGTCGAAAAATCGATTTTTTTCGGCCCAAAAATGACCAAATTTTCGACTTTTTCAAGCGTTTTTCTAACTTTTTAAAAAGTTTTTCCGATTCAAATAGGCTTAAATTTTGCTAAAAACAATGTTAAAAAACTTTATATTTGATTACTATCCCCACCAGGGCCTCCAGGAAAAAAGTTGGTTCCCCCCGCCTAAAATTCCCCCCGCTTATCCGAATTGTACCATGGTTGAATTTATTTAGTGACCAGCGCCCAAAACCCGCTTCGCGGGCCTTGGGCGCTGGAATGCAGCCTTTGCATGAACAATTTGAATTTTCCATAGCTCGGGTCCTTCGGACCCTCCTCCCCCTACCGACCACACACGCGCTTGCAACTGGGAAGAATGAGGCAATTTCTATTCTTTCACATTATGCAAATTACCCCCCAAAAATGAATAAAACCGGCTTTAACTTTGTAAACTTGTATTTTATCGGGATTCTGAAAACGCCATCGGAAAGAGGAGGGTCGATTCCCCGTAGTGACGAAGAATTAGCGCATTTTATCCAGGGGATCGCCCTTAAATCGGGCCTCGAAACTGACCTCCGCACACACACACAGACAAAGATACGCGACCAAATTATTATTTAGTGATTTGTGATATACATTTTTCACGATATTCCGGAAACACTGCTGTCGACTGTTGACGCTTTTTATACCATTACCATATAGTATCCTATCCATACCATTCGATAGAGGAGATTAAGTTTTTCAGATTTTAATTTTTGGAGTTCCGTACGCCAATAAAGATCGATTTTTGGTGCCCATAAAGTGCTAAAAACTCGGATTTCTCGCTTTTTTTGCGGTTCTCCAGTCATTTCTGTTGACGCCTGATGCACTTGTTGGCTATGTTTTGGCAATTAGCATGCCGTTTTTTGAGTAATTTGCCGAAAAATTGTCATTTTCGGGCCGGTTTCTGCCGGTTTTGGGAATAAAAGTCCCAATTTAGACGGTATTTTCATCAATTAAAAAATATCTCCGGGCGTGAAAAATGCCCTCTTCATTTTTGCTCACCCATTGGTGGTCGAAATCCGTCGAAATCCCTGTGAAATCGGCAAAATAACCCCCTAGGTAAGAGTCTAGTTTACCCCCCCAGCCATAACCTTTCAGCCATTCGTCCTATTAATGCGCCGAGTATCTCAAAATGTTCGCCGTGGTCGAATTACTATAGCCAAGTTGTTTTCATACATCAAAAATTGTTAGAAATTTTTTTACAAGATTTCGTAAGTTGAAAAGATTAAGCCGTCATGCTTCGATGTATCAGGAGTCTAAAACTCAAATATTTTTATTTTTCGCTATTTTTTTCGACTCAAATGCATTGTAGGCTGATTCTCCAGAGCAAGAGCTACAGGGTGTCTCAGGATTATCCGGACAAATTTCAATGCCATTTCTTACTATTTTTTCCTGTTTTATGCGCACACCGCGTAGTTTGTATCACACGTTGAGGTATTTTCGAGGCGTTGACAAAGAAAATTGCGCGTGGTTCCAACATCTCGCTTCGTAAAAAATCGAAGAAGTTTGAACCTAATTTCTCCCATCTGGGAAACGCTCAAAACCCGTACTGTTTCCGACGCTATAAAAAGCTTCGATATAACCGGAATAACGAAGAAACCACAGGAAGAGGTCGGAAATAATAAGTCCATGCTCTGCTCGACCCAAAAAATGCTAAGTTGACTCTAGGAAAAAATCAGCGAGCAAAAAAGATGAAATGAGGTCACGCGCCGCCGTATTTACCTTACATGACTTGGCCCGGAGTCACCTTAAAAACCCGATAAGATACTTTTAAAATGATAAAAATATAAATAGCTACAGTAACAATGATGCACGAGCAATTTAGACCAAGTTAACTTTCATTTCTGAGGAGCTTGAGCACGAGCAAGCTTCAAAACACCCTTATCAGCAATGCATAGGAAATTGATATTAAATTAGAAAATATGCATTGAAATGACCAAACTTTGGCGCAAACAGGTCCGTTTTGCCAGAAAACGTCACATCTTGTCCAGAAAAACGTCGGAACACTTTTTGGATCTTTCGTGGTATTTAAGAGGTGAAAAATCTTACCGCGTTCTTCGCTTGATTCTGAAACTATTAATGCGTCTTCTAGGAATTTTTTTTTTGCACAGAACATTGAAAAAGCCTCAAATACTCATATGAAATACATTAGGTTGGCAAAAAACAGCGGAAAAGACGAAAAAAATGTCTATTTCGTTTTGTCCGGATAATCCTGAGACACCCTGTACATTTTGGTACTATTGACAGCTCTGTACGTCAAAAGATAGCCGAGATACGGAAACTCACTTTGGACCAGCAAAAATTAACTAAAGAAAACCCAGACTTATAATTCTTATAAAATTTTTTCTAACAATTTTTGATATAAGAAAACAACTTGGCTATCGTAATTCGACCACGGCGAACATTTTGAGATACTCGGCGCATCAATAGGACGGATGGCTGAAAATTTGCCGCGGGGGGGAGGAGGGGTAAACTACTCAAAATGTAGAGTCTTGCCACCCCATAATTTCGCTATAACTTTGTTGTTTTACAATATTTTGCTGAGAAAGTTCGGCTGCACCAAGTTTTTATGGGTCGCCATCGCTGGTAAAGATTTGGTCCCAATCGGATGGAAGACGGAAAAATGCGGGGCCTCGCTTGGAAGCAATGCTGTCGTGTTGGCTTATTTTCAAAACGTCGAACCAACTTTTTCTTGTCGGCCCTGGTGGGGATAGTAATCAAATATAAAGTGTTTTCACATTGTTTTTAGCAAAATTTAAGCCTATTTGAATCGGAAAAACTTTTTAAAAACTTAGAAAAATGCTTGAAAAAGTCGAAAATTTGGTCATTTTTGGGCCGAAAAAATTGATTTTTCACTAAAATTAAATTTTTTAATTAAGTTTTGTAAGGTTTTTATGTTTAGGAATAGCTATAAACAATTTAGAAACACTTCCACTATTTGTATAACAAATATAGGCTTGGCCGGAAAAAAGTTCGGTTCCCCCCCGCTTATCCGAATTGTACCCAAAAAAAATGTTGTCGTGGAATAAATACAAAAATAAAATGTGGAAAAATTTTTTTGGGTAGGATTTGGCGGTTCCACCGGTAATATTAGCCTATGCAAATTTCGACAGTATGAAAATTCGACATTATGATTTTGGACGTTGTAATACCAATTCTGTCGTGTCAATCGTGCCATCCTTTATTATCACGCATTTCGGCGTCAATAGTAGACATTAAGATGGACAGCCAGCAATGCAAAAAGAGGCCGCCGCAACCGGCCAGGGTGTGCACTTTTTGGGCACAAATCACACGCCAAGCGCCGTAGAGGAACATCCACGCGACGTCGTGTGCTTCTCGACCTTCAGACCGCGTGCACGACATGATCAACCACATTGCTGCAAATTTATTAGCTGTTCGCGGACTATTTCACGTCGTAATTGGTCGCGTAAGCTATTACTACTGTTTTTCACCACGTTGTTTTGATGGTCAAATGGTTGGCGTCTCGCCCGCCACCCGCAGCGTCAGGGTTCGACCCCCGGCGGCGGCAAGCTGTTTGCTTTTTGGAATTTAGTATCGGATTTTGATGAGAATAGATAAACTGACTTCCAGGCTATAGACTACAAACTACAAACCGGCTCCAGGCCATAAAATGTCGCGCAAATGACCCGGGCTCGACCCCGGCGGCGGCAAGCTTTTTGCTTTTTGGAATTAGTTTCGGATTTGGATGAGAATAGCTAAACTGACTGCCAGACCATAGACTACAAACTACAAACCGGCTCCAGGCCATAAAATGTCGCCCAAATGACCCGGGTTCGACCCCCGGCGGCGGCAAGCTTTTTGCTTTTTGGAATTTAGTGTCGGATTTTGACGAGAATAGCTAAACTGACTTTCAGGCTATAGACTACAAACTACAGACCGGCTCCAGGCCAGGGGGGAGGGGGGCATTCCCGGGGGGAACCAAATTTTTTTCGGCACAGGCCAAGTTTTTTAATAAATAGCGGATGCGTTTCTACATTGTTTTTAACTATTCCTAAGCATAGAAACTACACAAATTTTAATCAAAAAATTAAATTCTAGGTCGTCAAATCCTATAGAACCTTTCGGATTAGCGGGGGGGGGGGGGGCGAGAGGACCCAAAATGACCAAATCTTCGACTTTTTCACATAATTTTCTAATGTTTTTGAAAGTTTTACGGCTTTAAATATGATTAAAACTTGCTAACAACATTGTTAAAACACTTTATATTTGATTACTAGGGCAACGGGGACCGCCTGGAAAAAAATTTGGTCCCCCCGCCCCGTTAAATGGCACGTTCAGGGACGTTTTTTTTTTGAAAAAAGCAAAGTTTTTGCCACGGCCGGGGGTCGAACCCGGACCCTCCGTTCGTGAGACGCCGATGGATACCAGTCAGCCATAGCTACAACCTGGCCAGGGGATGAGGGGCGCCCCACGCCGCAAAGGAGGGGAATGGCCTGTCACAGCACGGGCAGGCAGTGCGCGCGGTCCCTACGTCCATAGGGTGTACACGTTGGGACGAGTGTTTGTAAATCGAAAGGACTTACCAATGACGGTGTACATGGCGAAGGGGAATAGACAAAGGGTCACCAAAAGCCAATGACCGCACGGGAATCCGTACTGAAAAGAAACAATCTCTGCCTGTCTGCCCCTTTCGATTTCCTCAAAGAATCTCTGCTAGCCTGCCCCCTCTCTCTCCATTTCCTCAAAGAATCTCTGCTAGCCTGCCTTTTCTCGAAAAACGTGACGTACCTTACGTAGCCATGCTGAGGTAAGAACTGGTGATGGTATTGGGTTCTGAAACGATGGTGCCTTTCATCAAAAACAGTCTTTCACTTACATCATTACAGTCAGACAGATAGGTACAGATGACGAAGAAGGAGAAAAAGACTGTGTAGCAGGAAACGGCAGTCAGGAGACGTCGAAACATTGGAACACGGGAGCAGAGTGCCAGCTTCACGCTTTCAATCATTGTTTTATGGCGGCTGAAAAAATGAGATACTTTGCATTGGAAGGGGAGAGAGAGAAAGAGATAGAGTAAGAGTGAGAGAGAGGGTAAGAGCGAGAGAGAGAGAGAGTGAAACAGAGAGAGAGAGAGAGAGAGAGAGAGAGAGAGAGAGTGAGAGAGAGGGACAGAGAGCGAGAGAGTGAGAGAGAGAGCGAGAGGGATAGAGAGATGGAGAGAGAGAGAGATAGAGAGATCGAGAGAGAGATGGAGAGAGAGTGAGAGAGCGAGAGAGAGAACGAGAGAGAAAGAGTAAGCGAGAGAAAACACGGATTACAGATCGTAATCCCTAGCCCGAATTCCCGAACTAGTCGTCGTAATCGATTAAAAACGTAGAAACGAAAAAGTTATGGATTGACCTGTCATGCACATCCAAAATTGCGCCAAACAGCCGGCCAAAAATTGCCCTGAGGCCATGTCGGCCAGATGCCTATCTCGGCCATTGATCGGCCCTCAAAAACTTGTCTTTCCCAAAGAATCCCTGCTAGCATGCCAGATTTAATGTTTTGCCAGACTCCGCCAAACTACAGATGGCAGACTGCAATCTTCGACCCCCGCCCGGCCATAATTTTTGCTTTTTAGTTTTTTGTTGATTCCGCTAAACTGACAGCCAGGCTACAGACTACAATTTGACATTTTGTATCAAACTTGTCATTTTCAGAAGGCTACACATGGCCGCGAATGACTCGGACTCGGACTCGGACGAATTCTCCTCTTCGTCGGATTCTGCATTTAGCGACGGGGATGACGGTAGGACCCCGGAAGTACCGACTGCCCATCGCTAAATGCCCCAAATTGTAGCCCACGCGGCCCGGGTTCGAACCCCGCCCGTCGCAAAGTTTTTGCTTTTTGAAAATCCGGAGTAGAAATGGAGAAATAGCTAATTCTGCGTTTAGGGGCTGTAGATGATATTGCGACGCTGCGGAGACGGTTGAGGGATGAATTGGTTCGTGTTTATTTAATATCTCTCTCTCTCTCTCTCTCTCTAGATCTGTCTCTCACTTTACCTCTCTCACTCTCCCTCGCTCTCTCGCTTTCTATCGCTCTCCAGCTCTTTCTCTCTCTCTGCCTCTCTCGCAATCTCTCTAGCTCACTCTCTCTCTATTCTCTCTCTCGCACTCTCTCGCACTCTCTCTCTCTCTACCTCTCTAGCTTACTCTCTCTTTTCTCTCTCTCTCTCTATCTCTCTCGCAATCTCTCTATCTCTCGCGCTCGCTCTATCTCTCTGTCTCTCTGTCTCTCTCGTTCTCGCTTTCTCACGCTCTCTCTCGCTCTCTCACTCCTGCCAATCCCCAAGAATCTCTGCCAACCCGCCCCATTCCCAGCATTTCAGGCTCGTAACCGGCAACTCGTTGAACAGGTCGAGACACTGAATCGACCCCCATCACCGCAAGTACTGTAGATCTTGCAGTAAAAATCCCAAAAATCTATACAAAAATTGGTTGAATTAAAAACCAGCATCCAATCAAATCTATATAAACAAATTTTAGTTTTAAACAAGGTCTGAAAATACATTAAAATCAAATTTTTTAGCGTCGACCATTACCGGAATGTCTGGAGGACCCGATTGAGGCTCTCGCCCACTTCATCACCTTCCTCGGCGCCGTGCTACTGTATGCCCGGTTGATGGACATGTGGCATCCAGTCAATACGGTACGGTAACGCTCTACAGGGGTTTTCCTTTCATTTCGTCGATTTTTCGTTTCGTCGAATTTTTCATTTCGCCGAATTTTTATCTCGCCAATTTTTCATTTCGCCGAATTTTTAACTCGCCGATTTTCGTTTAGCTGATTTTCTCGGCGAAATGAAGAATCGGCGAGATGATCGTCGGCGAAATGAACGTCTAGCGGGCCGAAGTCATGTCCGATTTTGACGATTTAGGTATCTATCGAAAGCCCTTGAAAAGGCGAGAAAACAAGCACTTTTCGTTTTTCAAAATAGCCATTTTTATTCACTAAATTTAGGACCAAAATCGGTTTTTTAGGATTCCTGGTGGGGGGACCAATTTTTTTTTCTGGCGATAAGGTTGACCTGGTAATCGAATATAAAGTGTTTTCACATTGTTTTTAGTTAGTTTTGACTATATTTAAGCTAGAAAAACTTTCAAAAAAATTAGAAAAAAGATTTGAAAAAGTCGAAAATTTGGCTATTTTGGGTCCTTCCCCCCTCCCCGCTAATCCTAAAGGTTCTATAGGATTTGACGACCCAAAATTAAATTTTTAATTACAATGCGTGTAGTTTTTATGATTAGGAATAGTTAAAAACAATTTAGAAACACATCAGGTTCTTTACAAAAAAAATTTAAGCTTGCGCCGAAAAAATTTTGGTGAAACGAAAAGCGCTCGTTTTTTCGCCGTTTCAAGGGCTTTCGAATGGTGTCAAAATCAGCCCGATCCGACCTTTCTCCGCGCCGCTAGAGGGGGTCGATTTTTTATTGGGACATCCTGTATGAAAAACATAGCGTAACTCTTTGCAGTGTACGGTATCGAAGGGCCTGCGTCTCTCCATCTGCCTGTCACATATTGCTGTCTGGACCCTCGTTCTAATCGGTTTGTTTTGGCGGGGCTTAAAGGGCACGTTCAGTGACGTTTTCGGGCAAAAACAACCACGTTTGCCGCGGCCGGGGGTCGAACCCGGGCCCCGCGTTCGGGAGGCGCCGACGCATACCAGTCAGCCACAGGTGCAACCTGGCCAGCGGTCGAAGGGCGCCTCACCCCGGAAAGGAGCGGAGTGGCCTGCCACGACACGGGCAGGCCGTGCGCGCGGTCCCCACGTCGATAGGGTGTATACGTTGGGACGAGTACACGGCCCGTCCCTGAACGTGCGCTTTAAAGGGGCTGGGAAGGCAGGCTAGCAGAGATTGTTTGAGGAATGGAGAGAGAGGGGGCAGGCTAGCAGAGATTCTTGAGGAACCCATCGCAAAATACTTTCAATAATCGACGTTTCAGGAATAACCTATCGTAATTGTTTACCTGCCGAAAAGACTCGTCTCCACGCTGCGATCGGTGTCCAATACCGAAATCTCAACAAGATGCTGGTCGATCTTCGGCCTTGGGCCATCCGAATTGTCGCCATTAGCGCCATTCCAATTTATTTTATGCTCTGAATAATTAAGAATAAATAAATGAATTTATGAAAAATCTGTGGACCATTTTTGGGCCTTCTAAAAAGTGCCTTCCGATGCGTTACGGTAGCTGAAACTTTCGAATCCTATGGAACTTGATCTCCTCTTTCTAACGATCTATCACAGCTGGCTGCACTACCCCCCGCCGTCAAGAGGAATGCAGCGGAAGCGCTCGAAAAATCATGAAAAACCGATTTTCTCACATTTCGACTTGTATATGCCATGTAGTTACAGTACTCCGAGGCGCCG